ACATTTTAATTGACGCAATACTTGTGAACCTATCGTGATTTTAAAAAAGTTCATTTTTTTTGCACACCACTGTATCTACTTTAATTTCCGCTATTTCTGAACTGTGTAATCGTGAAACCTCTAATTCTTGACAATCCAATGAATTATATTGGCATGGATCATTAACTTCCCACGTATGCCAAAATAATTTTTCTCCATCCTTTTACTGCTTCGAGCTTGAGAATTAGGAAGATGTCCACGGCAATCCACTGCATTTTGTCTTTGGCTTGTTCCGACTCCCATGTTCCAAGGTTCATTGCAAAAGAATCTAACGGATAATCTTCGGAATAAAATTTACTCAGAAAAATTTTTACTAGATTGACTAATACCCACTTCCAAAATTCTTCCGATTTGATTAAATCTTTATTTGTCTGATGTCTTGTAGGAAAAACGAGAGGCTCTCTCTCAAGCTTTATTTTTTATAGTATGATCTATTCATCCTTCCTTCTTAATTTGTAGGGTTGGATCGGTCCGGTCTAAAAAGACCGGTCTTTCAACTTTCTTTGGACCGGACCGGTCCATAAGTCAGTCCTAGGATCGGTCCTAAGACCGTTCTTGTAGCATTCGGTCCCGGTCCGGTCCAATACTTGTTTTCTTCTCGAACCAGACCGATTTATAAGACTGGTTCAAGGATCGGTTTAGAATATACTAGACTAGAAAAATATAAATGGGGACCAATCCAGCAAAAGCCTGCATACGAAACTATTATTACGCCTACTTAATCCGTTTTCGATATTTTCATTTCTGACATTATCAGTAAAATATTAGGACAGGTCCAAGGACTGACTATGGACCGGACCGCTCCATAAGAGAAATGAAAACCGGGTCGATCCAACTCTAATTTGTAATATTTTATAAATAATAAAGGACCGGTCCGGACCGGTCCTCAGAATATGGACCGTGGACCGCAAGGACCGGTCCTATCCTATTAACCGGTCTAAGTCCGGTCTTTCCAGGAACAATAATCCCTACATTACTAAGCACGATCGTCAAATGGCACTATCCGTTCTTGTTCTACATATCAGTACATGCACGACTAGATCCTTTTTGTTGCGGTGAATCCTCTTTGCAAAAAATATATGGAGTCCACAAATCAAGGACAACTTTTTGCATCTGTAATAGATATTTAGCATGATTTTTTATTAAATAAGGTATTCACTTCTAACACATTCTCCATGACGAACTCATTAAGATTTAGAAAGAATAGGTTCATATACAAAGTCAACTGGGAGTGATTGATGGTAAGTTTCTCGTATGTTATTTACATATTCTCGTGATTTCTGTATCACTGATCTTTTCGTTTCATTTGGAACGACAACAGAATGTCGAACCAGGCCACAGGATCTATATATAAATTCAGTTGCCAACGCCTTTCATCATCTGGTGGGTTACTCTTAATAAGTCTAAAAACTTCTCTCCCATAAATGACAAATGTTTTGCAGCAATTTATGATCATCTTGAAAATTTTCTATCGTTCCAACATTAATTATCCCATTTAAATTCTTTTACTTTAAATTATACAGCTTCATCTATATTCGATAGTGCAATATAGGAATTAAAATTTCGACATTTTATGAAAACAAGATAGCAGTAAAAAAGGTCAAAAATGAAAATATTGTCAAGCCACTCGCCCCACAACTAATTTTATCCTTGTCGATCGATCTTTGATCATATGATATAAAATTTAAATGACTCTGTCATTTGACTTTGATAATTATAATAAATTTGATGTCATTTGAGGTCATTTCAGGCACATTCATATTAATCATGCAAAGTTACTAAAATGGGATTCGGTTTTTTAAAATAATATACAATTCGCTGACCAATAAATTTATTAAGTTTCTATTTTTTTTTTTATTCAAATGATTTTTACCATTTATTAATGTATAATAAGTTTTCGATTTTCAAGAAAGATCTATATACTCGATGCGATCAATCAAGTACCGTACAGACAGACATTATAATATTTTCAATTGCAGTTTTGAATTTTACATTTTAAGAAAATTAAAAGCTGGTGATTCTAATATCCAGAATTAAGATTAGTGCAGCAATTTAGCATTATTTTTTTAAAAAAAAACTAAAATTATCTATATAGTTCTTTTTTTTTCCTACTATTTTTCGAGTTCTATCATAATAATTGATTTTTTTTTTAGATTCATATTTAGTTTCAATTATTTTAATATTGTTAATTATTTACTTTTGCTACTTTCGCTTCGGTCGCTGCGATCGAATTTATTTTCCACGCCCTATATTGATTTATCTTCCTTTTTTATTTTTCTTAATCTTCCTCTTTCGAATGGAAGGAATGAAAGGATTTCTTTTTGATTCAATCACATGATGCAGTAATTAAACGTTATTTTTAAGAGGTTGGAACTCGGCAGTTAAAGAAAATCTTTAAACCGTTTAAAATATTTGATTTTAACTCCGGCTGAAACTCAATTTTCGGTCAGAATTAAGATTTTATGATTGCAGAAATATTTGCTAATTCTGGCCAAATTTATAGTACTGGCCTAAGTTAATTTTAACCGGTGTTAGACGCTAATCTTGCTGCGCCTCAGATGAGGCGAATATCACGAAAGTGAGTCATCGTCTAAGTTACTTTTCATAACATGTATCACATTATATATTTTTCATTATTTATTTTATTTCATTTAGTTTTTATTATTTATCTAGTATTACTTACATGAAAGGCGTAGTATAGAATTAGTTAACAATTTTGTATTAATAGACCTGTAAGTTGACCTTAAGTTGATAGAATTCTTCCAAAGAGGATTTTGGATATAAGTCTTGGGACTAGATTTAAAACTTTTTAAAATAATAAAGTTACTATTATCACTTTCAACCTTCTTCTTGTCTTCATTATAGAACTGATTGTGATAACTAATTATACAAGTGATAATAAAATTGTTTTGTTTGTAAATCATTTATTACTCTTAGAAAAGATCTTCAAGATACTTGAGTTATTAAGATATTTGATATATTTAGCTTGGTTTCAATACATATAATTTCAGATATAACACTAGTTATTAATCAGTTAAGTTTTTTAGGTCAGTTTCAAATTCTATTATTTTTAAATTTATTTTCTGTTTTATAGTTTATTTTTTACTTTATAGGTTCATATTTGTAATATAATTAAAATGATCAAAAAGAAAAGAAAACATAGTAACAACTTATTTACTATATCATTAAAAAATCAATTCACTAGATTTGTCATATTTTTCATTTTTTATTATAAATTTTTATTATAAACATGAGAAATATATGGAAAACTGATATAATACAATTTGCTAACCAGTATAATATGATTATGCAAATCAGTATTTTTTGTAAAATTTGATATTGTACTATACTATACTGATCCTATAATGATTATTTAACTAATCTAGTATAATGGTATATGAGTAAATTTTGAATTATTTTTTGGTAATGTCAATATTAAATTATTTTAATAAGATAAAATTTACGAAAATTACCAAACTATGACTATTAGATTTAAAATATAAAGAGCTTTAAAATTAGCTATAAATTATAAAATTTGGATTACTAGAAATAGAATTAGTTTTATTAGTTGAAAAATTTTTATTGTATTATATTATGAATTTGACTAAATATAAATCAATTTATTTTTTTATAATGAAATTTCAATTAATCTAAATGATTACCTTATAATATTGAGGTATAATTATATTTAAACTTTGATTTTATTGATAAATAATACGATATATTTATAATTTATCATTATTTTATCTTTTTAGTTTAAATAATTTTCTTTTAAAGCTACTTTTATTTTAATAATTTAAGAACTTATTTTTTTTATTCCAACTATTTTATTTTATTTTAATATTATTTATTTATATACAATAGTGATTATAAGTATCTGATCCTTATAATTCTTAAAGTTAATTAATAACGCAAATTAAAATTTTTCAAAATTTAAGTACAATGCCAATATTAATCATATGTAAAATTATAAGTTTGTATAATATATAAATCAAAAATTAGATGATCAATGAATTTTGTATGTAAAATGCTGATATTTTTTTAATTAATTAAATTAAATAAATTTTTTTATATAAAGTTCAATAATGACTGAAATAGAATTTAAAAAATATAGCTACTTTATATTTATTGTAATAAAATTATAACATTTATTATATTTAAAAATATCATTTAAATAAAGATTTTAGTAATAAATAAAAGTTATAATATTGCTAAAAAGTCTATATTATAGTGATTTTTTAGATTTGCGATTTGATAAATCTAATATTAATTTTATATATAATTTCTATAAAAGTGGCCTTTTGCTTATATCTGTAAATTTTTTAGAAAAAATAACTTAAAGTAAATTTGACAAAAGTTAATAAATACAAACATTATTCATAAATTAAAAGAAAGAATAGAATATTATTAAAGTTCTCTAATTATTTATGTAATCTGTTTAAAATTCTATAAAAAATGTGTAATAACTCCTAAAAAATTAATATATTAAAAAAAAAATCTATATATTTAAGAAGTTTAGATGTTAAATAATAACAAATGAAATTATTTACATAAAAAAAGGTCATTTTTTTTGAAATATAAAATTTACCAATTATTTAACTTCTAAATTATACATGATACAAATCTATAATTTTACAGATTATCAAAGTTAGTATTGAATTTAAATTTAAAAAAATTTTAATAGATATTATTAATTAACTTTAAGAATTATAAAGGGTCAGATACTTATAATTACTACTGTAGCTTTATTTAAATTTTTTTATTTTTATTTGCTTTTTAGATAATCTAAATATTAAATTACTAGTAGAAGCTATAATTTTTGATTTCTTTTCTTTTTGTTTTTCTAATAATAAATTATTCTTTATTAAGTATATAATCATTAATTAAATTTTAAATTAATAACTTACTTGAATATTTAGCAACTTCTTTATATCTATTTATTTGTAATTTATTTATATCATTAGTAGATATATTATATTTTGTAAAATTAATACTGCATCACATTCTTTTTAATCAAATTCTTTAGTTTTAAATATAAAATAAATGTTTATAGTTAAAAAAATGATTTTATAAAAAATATAATAAACTAAATATACTTTTTAATTATAGTTAATAAAGATAAATGAATTATCTATATTAATCTTATAATATGCATTTTTAATATTATTTATATTATTTTATTAGTTTTTCAAATTCTATGATTCATTTTAATATAAGCTAGACTAAGTATTGATATAATACAGGGAATTTTTTTATC